GTAAGGAACACAGACCACACACACTGCGGGAACTTCACGCCCAGCACACACATGTGCCTTATCTACACACACAAAAATGCGGCTTGATAAAGTTCAGAGTAATGCAAAGTGTTACGGGCATCAAGTAGCTCTTGTCATCCATGGCTTTTCTCACTCAAAGATGCCAATGGGGGCGCCTGGGTGGCTCAGTTGGTGAGGCTTCAGACAACTGATTCCAGCTCAAGTCCTGATCTCAGGGTCATGAGATCGAGCCCTGAATGGGGCACCATGCTGGGCACAGAACCTGCTTAAGATTCCCTCTCTCCTCCCCCACACAAGGGAGGGCGCTCTCGCTCTCTCTCTCAAAAAAAAAAAAAAAGATGTTAATGATCTCACTTATGTGTGGAATCTTGAAAACAAAATAAACAAACAAAAAAAGCTCACTGATGCAGAGAACAGATTGGTGGTTGCCAGAGGTAGGACCCAGGGTAGGAGTGGTGAAATGACTGAACGGGGTCAGAAGGTACAAACTTCCAGTTATAAAAAAAGTAAGTCTTGGGGAATGTGACATACAGCATGGTGACTACAGTGAGTAACACTGTATTGCATGTTTGAAGGTTGCAGGTAAGGTAGGTCTTAAAAGTCGTGGTTTTTTTTTTTTTTTTTTTTTTGAGAGAGGGAGCCAGCATGAGCAGGGGGAGAAGCATAGGGAGACACAGACTCCCCTCTGAGCAGGGAGCCCAACGCAGGGCTGGATCCCAGAACCCTGAGATCATGACCTGAGCTGAAGGGAGGCGCTTAATGGACTAAACCACCCATGTGCCCCGATTTTAAAAGTTCTCACACACATGAAATTTTTTTGTAACAATGTAAGGTGACAGATGTTAACTGGACTTACTATGATCATTTTGCCATGTATACAAATAATAAGTCATTACATTGTATACATGAAACCTAATATTATGCTACATGTCAACTGTACTTCAAAGAAATACAGGGATACTTTAACTAGCATTATATTGGGGTCCTGGAAGGGTTGTTGATATTAAAAGGGGGTCCTCATTTATTTAAAAGAACTAGGAAATCACTGGTCTAGAACTCTAGATGCTTCCTAAAGTTCCTTTACAGGGATTGGCACATAATCTATCTTTCCTCAGCAGCTCAACCACCATTCATGTTGGTGAGGAAAGGAAGAGTTAAAATTAAGCCTACTCAGTTCCAGACATCATAGCTGATTTTTTAAATTATGACTTAAAAACATAAGTCAAAAAAAAAAAAAAGAAAAAAACCCCTGCATTTTGGCCATTTATCACCAAACATTTCTATTACATCCAAGCTATCCAAACATTTATTTCTCTGTGGCCCAAAATCCCTTGAAAAAACAAGACTGAGGGCACAGTTTATATAGCTAGTCATCGTTATTTAGACTTAAAGCCCATCTTTACGTGTCTTATGATGGCAGTAACACTAGATGCCTTTTAAAAAGCATTTAAAACCTTCTACGACTTCTTTGCTACATCAAAGTACAAGTCTACTCTTGTGAAAGAAAACTGTCATTCTAGCACAGCCGCATGTAAAATGAATAATTGATAAGCAAGGGCAAAGAGCTTTGAAAACCTAGAAGCAGCATATGGATAGTACAAAATAATGCAGAAAGACAACCAGTGTCCTGAAACTCAGCAACTATTCATAAAACAAAACATAACAAAACAGAAAAAGGTGCCTGGGTGGCTCAGTCGGTCAGGTGTCTGGCTTTGGCTCAGGTCATGATTCTGGGGTCCTGGGATGGAGCCCCGTGGCTGGTGGGGGGCAGGAAGGTTGTCTGTACCTGCTCAGTGGGAGGTGTGCTTCTCCCTCTCCCCCTCCCCTGCCTCCCGTTTATGCTCTCTCTCTCTCTCAAATATATAAAATCTTAAAAAAAAACATCAGTGAGGTTGGACAAATGCCTATATGGGGTTTGTATTTTTTAAATTCCATTGGAAAGGAGCTCTGAAAGTACTGCCTCCAAGTTGGGCAAAAGCCAATGTGTAAGAACAAACACAATCAGCTATTGCAGAAGTTTCGGAGCACTGCGAAGTCAGAGGCTGCCCATGGGCAGCAAAGCCTTTGGCCTCTCAGTCATTCCCACCCATCTGCCCGGGGTTCACAGTGACCCAAGAAGAAGGTCCAGGTCCTGCCAGGACAGTCACTCAGGAACAGAGGAGGACTCCTCTGCCCCCGTCCAACCACCAGCACCTTTTTACTGGGTAAAGAGGCCTCAGTGGGGCAGCCAGGCAGCCACAAACTCCTCCATTGGGCAGAAGGCCCGAGGCTTCAGCACGTGAAATAAGCATCGTGGTTTTCACACCTCCTGGCGCAGACCTTGAACATGTGGCCCTTTGCACTCTTGAACTCCTACATGGGACAGTGACCCGTACTGTGAAAAATCACGCTCACATGTCCCTCCGAACAACTGATGATTTCTCTTCTTTCTAACCATGGAAAGCTTACAGTCACAACCAGGAAGATGACAGAAAGTCTCTAAAATGGGGCACCTGAGTGGCTCAGTGGTTGAGCATCTGCCTTTGGCTCAGGCCATGATCCCCGGGTCCTGGGACCAAGTCCCACATCGGGCTCCGCACAGGGAGCCTGCTTCTCTCTCGGCCTGTGTGTCTGCCTCTCTCTGTGGGTCTCTCATGAATAAATAAATAAAAATCTTTTAAAAAAAGTCTCTAAAATGAGTTAGCACGCGATGCATTTGATGCACTCCACGCAGCTGCCCCGCTAAGGCAGAGAAGTCAGTTCTACTCTCTCCCGTCTGGGACGGATCCTTCCTTCTCCCGCCAGCGGTGGAGTTAAAAGGACTGACGATGGAACCCCCCAATCACAGAGCTCTGCTTTATTCCTGGAAAACCCAGAGCGCTAGGCAGCCGCCCAACCCAACCCTGCCCTCATGTGGCCAGGCCTTCCTCACCTCCAGGCAGTCTTCTTTTTCTTTGGAAAACACAGCAGTTGCCCTGAGGCAATTTAAAAACTCATGGGGCTTATTGAACATGATTAAAACATTAGTAAAAATATTAGTACACAGTAGTAAAAATATATAAATTTGGCTAAATGTAGACTTGGAATTCTTGAGAAACCCCCAGAGGACAGCCTACCATGAAGAGTCAACAAAGCAGAAAGGTCTTACATCACTCCGCGACGCTTGCTTCCTAAAGGCACGATATTTCCCATCTGGATGGCCTTAATCTACTTTACTCCCAGCAGAGGTGGTTGGTTCACTTCCAGACATAAACACAGGTCCTCACAATACGAAAAAGCCAGCAACTAGCGTAGGCAGCTCCATTTGCCTCTTTTAGAGCATCGGTTGCATATTCTCCAGGGAATTAAAGTGAGGCTATGGCTTGTCGTCCCCCCCCCCCCCAAGTGGTTCTCCTGAGTTCAGATATTCAGCAAGTTATAAGAAGCATCCTTCCCTAATTTAAATTTGCAAATCAGAGGGGATAGTGGGTGGCTCAGTGGTTGAGCCTAGGCCTTTGGCTCTGGGTGTGATCCTGGGGTCCTGGGATTCCCGCATCAGGCTCCCCACAGGGAAGCTGCTTCTCCCTCTGCCTGTGCCTCTGCCTCTCTCTGTGTGTCTCAAGAATAAATAAAATCTTATAAAAAAAAATTTGAAAACCAGAGCTAGCCAGGCAAAAGGTTTTGGGTTCCACGCATCTGGGTTATGGTCTGACTACCGTTTAGCCCCTGCAGCAGGAGGAAGATAGGGAATCATCCATTTCCATTTGGAAAGCAGTTAAGGGGACGCCTGGGTGGCTCAGTGGCTGGGCACCTGCCTTTGGCTCAGGCCGTGATCCTGGGATCCAGGATCAAGTCTTGTATCAGGCTCCCTGCAAGGAGCCTGCCTCTCTCTCTGTGTTTCTCATGAATAAATAAATAAATATTTAAAAAAAAAAAAAAAAAAAGGAAAGAAGTTAGGGTTCGAAGCTAACAGCCAAGAAATAATTTTTGATATGTCTTTGGTGTAAAAAGGTGGTTTTATTAGAGCATGGAGACAAGACCCGGGGACAGAAAGAGCTGCCCTGGGGTCATGAGGAGCAGCCTGTAATATACTTTCAAGTAGGGAGGAGGTTAGGGATATTAGGGATAGGGTAAGTCTCTGAGGAATTTTGGAAGCAAGGTTTCCAGGACCTTGAGGGGGCTGGCTATTGTTGGGGAAAGGTCATTTATTACCGTGTAATAAAACCCGAGTCATGAGCCCCTTCAGATGCGTATCGGAGGGCCATGTACTTGGAGATGACTGCTAACCTATATCTTGGTGGGTAGAAATAAAGGAAATTTCTAAAGGAATTTTTATATGTTAGGGTAGACTTACAGGATCCTGGGAGTTGCGCTAAGATCACCTTTTGCCCTTAGCCAAGTATCACCATGGAGGCAGCTGAGTCCCTAGAAGAATGTCACTCTGCCTGTTTTGAGGACTTGTCAACGGGCTGTAGGTAGTGAGGAAATTTAATAACGTTTCTTCTGCCTTTGTTTCCCACATCACAGCTCACAGCTGTTTCCTACTCCTAGGAGATGAGCTTGAGACTTCCTCAGTAGGCAGAGGGGCTGAATGAACCCTGCTTCTCATCAGAGCAGAGCCCTGGCCAGTACTCAGTTAGCCAGCTTTGCTTTCAAGTAGCCAAGAAACCACCGGCACAGCCACCGAGCACATCCTCAGCTACCTCCACCAGGCGCCAGGGCCTCTGCAGAGAAGGCCACCATCCATGCTCTGCAGGTGCATTGCCTGGCAGGTGCCAGGGAAACACAGCAGGCCCCCACAGGCAGCAGATCCCTGGCGCTCAGGGCCAGGCTGTGTCACCACTAACACGCTTCCATTCGTGGACTCTCCTTGACACGTAAGCATCAAGGGCAGGAAACGGATTTTTCTTTTGTCCAGCTATTGAGGACTAAAAAGATACGATACCTTCTGACCAACTACCTTATCTAAGCACCGCCAAGGCTATACCACGAAGCAGAAGGAAACACGGAACAGGCCCTACCGTAAGGGTATTTGGTATCCAGCTTACTCGCTGCCGTCCTCTCCCAAGGCAAGTGGTCATCGCTGCACCCATTTGGCATTCCGTTATACCCGATGCCGACAATCTTGTTTTCTGCATTCACGATGCAGGCTCCGACCTACAGGGAAACGTGCCCAAAGGCTTGGTGACTTTGAGCGGCTGGTCTGCCCCTGGACACCGGAAGCTTGCAGAGCTCCAGAGTGAGCATGCGGCTTTCAGCAGTGTGTTAAGTGCTCTGTGTCTCCTTGCTTGCTTTCTGTGGCAGCCCCCACAAGCCAAGGAGAGCAGAACCCTTCACCCCAGAGAGGGTACAAGAAGTTGAGAGCGGTGGCATGTGAAAAAAGGTAAGCGCACAAGGGATGCAGCACAAAAGACAGATTTATTCTGCCTTTGAGTCGCCAGGCACCCACCGAGCGCTTTCCCTCTGTAATGTGTTCGTTTCCAGGTATCTCTGTGTCTGTGGGTGTCCAAAGATCCTCCTACAAAAGTCACTTACCTGTGAATTTGGATCTTTGCTTCTCTGTGCAGCTAAGAAGGCCACTGCCATGAAATACTCGGGCCATTCCAAATAGTCATCACGTTTTTTGCAGGGAACTTCACTCATGCTGGGTCTAGAAGGAAAACAGCGCTTGAGAGAAGCAGCATTTTGGTCCACCTGCTTCCCAGCTCAACGCAACCACATCTACACTCTGGATCTGCAAAGCCAGACAGTTTCAGTTACATTTAGAAATCACAGATCACGGGGCCCCAGAGAGTGTCTGGCCTTGAGCAAAAATATTAAATTATGTCACTATTTCAGAAGTTCGGATTTGGGACGTCGTTTCACATTCCCAAATATTACATCTCTGTGCTTTCTCATAGGATTCTTTTTTCCCAAGTTATTACACATGCCTGCCCCGCACACTGTTGTCACCTGTCACCTCTTTCTCTTAGGAAAGGGAGTCAGCGGGAGAGGGAGGGAGAGAGGAAGGAGAACATTTACTGGTCGCGAACTATCCCACACTGTGAAGGGTCATACACATCCTCGGACCCAAGCCTCATCCCTAGCAAAGGAAGGGACATCCCATCCTACAGGGACTCCCCTGAGTCCCACAGGATCGGCCTCGGCCAGTCAATTCCGCGGGAGTTGTCTCAACTCTGATACTAACCAGATAACCTGTCCCTTTGCTGTTCCCCTTAGCTTCGAGTCCGGTTACTGAATCGAACCAGGAGAAACCATGAGAAGAAGCGTCAAGTGCTCCTCCTAAGGCCAAGTCTCAGCGAGGCGGGCTCCAGTCCCCCCGTCCCGGGCGCCCGGGCGCGGGGGTGGGCGCAGCCTCCAAGGGGCCTCCGACCCGCAGTGCGGGGGAGGCGGCGGGGGGCGAGGGCGACTCGGGGACGGCAGGTTCCTGAGGCCGCCTGGGGAGGCCCCGCACCTGGGCCCTACGTGCCCCCCGCCCGCGGCCCCCCTGCGTGCCCCCCCGCCCGCGGCCCCCCTGCGTGCCCCCCCGCCCGCGGCCCCCCTGCGTGCCCCCCGCCCCCCGCGCGCCCGCAGGCCTCTCGGCGCCGGCCTGGGCTCGACCGCGCGGGGCCACCCCCGGCTCAAGGCCCGCAGCCGCCGTCGCTGTGGGGCGCCCGCTAGGCGGCCCCTAGACGGGAGGGGGGAGGGGGAGGGAGGGAGGGGGTGGAGGGGGGAGGGGGGAGGGGGAGGGGGGTGAGGGGGGAAGGCGTGGAAGACCCGCGGGGGCCGGGGGCGCCTTTCCCGGGTCTGCGCGCACCCCCGCCCCGAGGCCCGGGCCCGGGCTGCTCCGGGGGACACGTGTCGGCTCACCCGGGGAGGCCCCCCGGCCCCCGGCCCCCCGGCCCCCCGCCCCCGCCCCGGGGAGGCCCCGCGCCGCAGCCCCACGTGGCGCAGGAAGCGCCCGCGTCTCCGCCTCCGGCACCGGCCTGGGTCGGCTGCCCCGAGCGAGCGGGGCTCCGGGAGGGGGCGCCCGGCCGGTCCGCGCCCCGCCCCGCCCCGCGCCCCCGCGCCCCCGCCCCCCGCCCCGCGCCCCCGCGCCCCCGCCCCCCGCCCCCATCAGGCCGCGTACCCGCCGGGCTGCTCCTCCGCTCGGTCCCGCTCCAGGCCCCGCCGCCGCCGCCGCCGCCGCCCCCGGGGAGGAAGTCGGGAGAAGAGGCGGGGCCGCGCGGGGCCGGAAGGTGCTGCAGCCCCGCGGCCGAGCGCTCCGCGGAGGGGCCGGGGGGGGGGGGGGGGGGGGGCGGGGGGTTTCCGCCGTCGGGGCTGTTTGCGCTCTACCGCCGCCCCCCACCCCGGGATGCACCGCCCACCTCCAGCCCTCGCTCTGAATCTGAGTTTTCCTTAAAAGGCGACGCGAAGGGGCCCAGGGCAATGAAGACTGAAAAGGGCAGGAAGCAAGGGGACCCGCTTGGGGTCTCTGGCATGCGCCGGCCGGCCGGGTCAGCGCCCTGGGGCCCGCGGACGGCGGTGTCAGTGTCCTGGGGCCAGTGGACGGCGGCGTCAGCGCCCTGGGGCCGGTGGACGGCGGCGTCAGTGTCCTGGGGCCCGCGGACGGCGGTGTCAGTGTCCTGGAGCCGGTGGACGGCGGTCAGTGTCTGGGCCGTGCGCAGTGTCAGTGTCCTGGGGCCCGCGGACGGCGGCGTCAGTGTCCTGGGGCCCGCGGACGGCGGTGTCAGTGTCCTGGGGCCGTGGACTGCGGGTGTACGGATTCCTGCCCAATCCGGCCCGGCCGGACGCTGTGCCTCGAGGCACAGATGTCTCGAAGGTGCATTTGCATTTGCGCTTTGCATGGCTCGCTCAGTCTCCCCCCACACGGGGTGGAAGGGCCGGAGATGTGCGCCGAAGCCTGCCACCACGCCTTCCCAACCCCACCACGGAGCACACACCTCGCAGACACCCTCCCCCCCCCGCCCCCCGGGTTGGCCGCGTATAAAATTGTGCACACTGTACTGTGACAACTGACTTAAAGATCAGAGGAAATGGGCCGTCGGTGAGCTTTCTGAAGCCATAGGCCCCAAGGAAGTAAATCAGATTTTCTAGAACTTCATTACTCTGTTCAAACGTGTGGCCCCTCATCCTGGGGGGACATGAGCTCCAGCACAGAGAATGACAAAAGAACCCTTTCTGTCCCACACACACACACACGGCTTGAGGATCCCGTCGGCGCTCCATAAATAATAGCCACCGTAATAATCATGAGTTCTGATCGGCGCATCCCAGATCTGAGCCACTAATCCAAACAAAAGCTTGTTAACTATATTAATTTAGCCTAACGGGAGAAGAATGATGAGAATAAACAGTGGGTTCTATCTAATTTCTCACTACCGCAGACACATCATTCTTCATCTCCATGGTCCAGCCTGTAGATTCAATAATTAAATTATGTACTGTGTTTGGTAGATGCCGGGAAAGCAAAGAGAAAAATACTTCATCACTAACTATAGATTTTTTTTTTTTTGCTTTGATAAGAGTCAGGCTTGAAAGAGCTACATAGATTAAGATGATGATTTTTAATGTCAAGTTAACTTTACTTGGCTGGCGTGTTGCCACTGAAACATATTATATATACTGAGCCCTCGATTCCCCTTGCCCCCCCCCCCCGCCCCCCATCCTCTGCTTGGTCTCTGTCACACTCATCTATAGTCTTTGAGTCTTCGTAGATCCATTTCTCTTCTTACCAATCTCCAGCCAATACATCACCAATTGCTGCTGGTCCTTCAACCACAACATCATTAAGCTTGCTTCCTTCCTCCGCTCTGTAAAGACTGTCATACATAATTTAGTTACTTCTCATCAGTCTCCATTTTGGTCAGCTCACACACTCCCCTCTGCAATAAATTCAGGATCCTGCTTGCTGCAAACACATTACCCTGAATGTTCCTGCATTTCGCTGCAAGTCTCTCATCTTACAGGATGACATCATTCATAATACAGGAAACCCTCCTGATTCATAGTCTTAGAACTTGAGGTTTCAATTATTCTGCACCAACAGCCAACCCAGGCAGCCCAGGAGGAAGAAAAATGCATTCCTTGGTTTATCTTGCTCATTAACACCTTGTAACTCCAAGTGTGACTGTTAAGTGTTAAATCTCTCTTGCTAATACCTTGTATTTTGGTTTATAATTGAGGATCTTTCTCCACCTACCACGGGCACAGAGGCTCACTATGTTTTCAGCTGTATCAAGAGCAAGGACAGAGGGCTTCACAGCGGGGTGAAGACAGTCAGACATTTGTAAGGATCATTGTCCCAAGCTTGGCCTGCCTCTTCTGTTTACAACACTGTGGGTTATCTGTGCCTGATCTGTAGCATAACCTGGAACATATTGCAGGATTTCAAAGGTGGGGGATCGCGATTAAAAAGATGAAAGTCAAGGTGGAACTCTTTAGGGACTCCTTCAAATGGAGCTTTGATGGCAATCATGCATGTGTGCTCTACCATGATACCGCTTACCCCTTCCTCCACCTCCTCTTCTTGAAACCCGGGAACAGGCAGGGAGTCTGGAAAGCAGCTGGTTGGTGCATCAGGGTTGTCATGGGAGAAGGGCACAGGCCTTGGATGCAAACCAGAGTTTGAATTTTAGTCCCATTTCTTACTACCCAAATGACCTTCAGAAGGGACTCACATTCTTGGAGTCTGTTTCCTCATCTGCAAAATCAGTAACATTCAATCATTCAATCATGTTTTATTAATTTTCCATGCGCTCAGTGCTTCAAATACCAACAATGGACAAGATAGGCCAGCCCTTCCCTCACAGGGCTTACCGCCCTCTCTCTAACAAATGCTGAATAAATGAACCTCATTGTTGACTTGGTTAACACAATAAATGTTACAAAAGTTTCCTGTTAGAATATCTTGGTTCTTTAAAAAAAAAAAGATTTTATTTGTTCATGAAAGACAGAGAGAGGCAGAGACATAGGCAGAGGGATAAGCAGGCTCCCTGCAGGGAGTCTGATGCAGGACTCAATCCTAGGACCCCGGGATTGCAACCTGAGTCAAAGGCAGATGCTCAACCACTGAGCTACCCAGGTGCCCCACGGTCCCTGTTTTTCAAAGGAATAATTGTTTATATTTCCAAGAGGCTGTCCAAACTACAGAGAACTGTTTAAACCTTAAGTATGAGAATGACTGGAATATCTGCCAAACCAGAAAAGAAGTCAGTGAAAATTCTAGAAAAGAAATTCCATCTGTGTTCTTGTCAATATATACATTTTTATATGTATGTTAGAACATGAGGTCAGTTGTTCATGTTCAATGGAAGACATGTATGTCTTCCACAGATTGATATATCAGAATATTAATATAAAAGAAATCAAGATTCCTAAATAAGATTTTTGTTATGAGGTGATGCCCTGGTTATCTTTATTGTCACACATCTTCAAAATTACAGTGAAGATCAATGAGGAAAACGTTAACTTGGTGTATGCACAGAACTGGGTGCTTTGCTATTGTCTGTCAGTAAATGTTGGTTGACCAAATTAAGGGATAGACAATAATTGCTTTATTCCAAAAATTTTGGAGCATCCAACACATAAAGAGCAATCTTCATCTGTAAACTCTAGTCATACTTCTCTATCTGCTTCCTTTTTCTCTTTGCATCTATTAGACCTGGAAAGACATTTGATAAATGATGTCTTGGGGCTGGTGGATCAAGAAGCAAGGTGGAGCAGAACTGTTTTCAAGACTTGTAGTGTCTCAGTCTTAGGATTTTGGTCTTAACCTGCAAATAACCATTTCTAGAACCATAGCAAAAGGCAGCTGGGAAGGCTGTCTGCTTTTTCATGGTTATGTCAACTCTCCCCACGACTTGCTTTTCCTCTACAGAGCTGAACTTGTAGCCTCTTTCATACATAACTGGTTGAAGTTGATGGAAATTACATGTCTTATCACTCCCTAAAAGAAAAAAATACATAAAATGTAAATCTAAAAGAAATGGGCAATTTTCTTGTACCACTTTATATTTCTGTGTAAGTTACCAAGTGCCAATCACTCTTACTTTTTAAAATTCAAATTTGTCAAGCAGCATGTAAGCTTTCAGTGTTGTACAAGAAAAGATAATGCTTCATGTGGAACAGTCACTTACGCTAGTTCTGCAAAAGTGCCTACCAAAAGAGAATTTATCAGATTGCTGGTTTTATGGAAATATTAATGACCTCATTAAATGGTCCCTCTACTCGGGGGTCACCGTGGAGTCTACTGAAAGGTAATCATCAAGGTATTATGGTCCTGGATATAGAATTCTTTATTGACATCACAGTCGTCACTCATTTTGTAGTGTATATTCTAACTAATGTAACAAGGTGAGTGCCCGAGAACCATTGTAAGTGAAGGCTGCTGTTAAACTGTTTTCGGAAGTTAATGGCTATCATAACCTGCCTGACATGTTGTGTCTTCCTTTAGCTAACTGGAGAGCTCATGGAGGCTAA